ATTTCATAAATTAAAAGATAAATTAAATTATTTTACCACATGGTTTTATCCCTTTCGTGGAAATGGCGATATTTATATGTACACATACCTGGATCAGGGTCCTCTAATTTTTCCTTAAGTTTGGGAAATGCAGGTCGTAATGCTTCTGGATAACGTAAAAATACTTTATACATCATAAGAACAGCTTTCATACGCAAATACGGTTTTGTTGAACTCATCTGCAACCAAATAAATCACCCATAATTATTTTGCACGTTTTGGCATGTTACAATTACTTACCAGAGTCATAATATCGTTTGCAAGGTCCCGAGATAAATCGGGCGAAATAAAACAACTGAGACCGCTTAAAGCCACACCAGCATCGTATTGATTTTGAGAATTCAAATCCTTACGTATCATATTTGTTGTTAACATTAGTAACTATATGAAATTAAAGTGTATATTACATTTAGTTTTTTATCGCAAATATATTTACATACTTCACTATCAGGGTGAAAGCATTGGCTTGCTGCCAAGTAGCCAATACGTTTGCATGTAAATCGTGACGAGCTCATTACTTCAATTATGTTAAAACCGGCCCATGAGATGTCATAACCGAGCATTTGTATCTACAAGTTGTGATATATATTAGTTACAAATTTGATTTGCGTTAAAGATATTGCAAAGAAATCAATTAACAGAACTTAAGCCACTATATATGTATATAATCCAAGGTTACAAAATTTGAGCAGCTTAAGTTTGCCATTATTACTTTATACAAACCCATGACTACTTACGTATGTTAATTTCGCAACAGCATTGCACTTAACGTTAATGTTATCCTGCCGTAGTTCTTGTTTGATTTCCTCAATACATTGTGCTATGTATTTCGCCTAAAACGATAAAAAAATATCGGTTATAGTATTAATTCTAGACTACGAAATCGATATTAAAAGCAAGTATATATGTACTACTTTTAAGCACTAATATATATAATTATTGTTGATCACAAATAGAATATATGCTAACAAAACACTTCTAATGTGAAGGTTTGCGCAGAATATTGGAGTCTCCAATGGTGTCGAGTTGACAGTCTTAATTCAGGTATAAATCCCGCGGAGCTTCGCTTATAGTCTTTATATAACTCAATGCCAAATTTTTATTTATTTTATTAATTTAGTGAATATAAATATTTGTTAGATAAACGAATGGTGGAATAGATATGGATTGTAATTTTCTCATCGATATAGCTTATATTTAAATAACCCTAATTACTATAATCCAAAGACAATAGAAAGAATTATTTCATTAAATGATGCTGGTTGAACGTGTATAGTATTCTGAAACAGGTAACAGTTTGACACAAATCTCTCCAAATACAAAAATACTACAATTGATAAGAAATGTGAATACATATTTACCCTTTTATATGTGTGCATATGTAAATTCACACGGATTTATATGAATAAGAAAAATCAAATTTATAATTCATGATAATTCTAAACATCTAAAGTCTCCTTAGAAATAACAGATGGAAATACATTTTACCTCGTTATCCTTATTATTCCTTATGCCCCGCACAAGATCCGTGAGATTTTTGTCAAACATACGTTCGAAATTTCCCTTAACTTTTTTTAAAGCCATTTTAACGTGTTAACACACAAATTAAATTGTTACTGTTTATCAGATTATTTCATCTATTATTAGATTAATATCCTGGCAACGTATGCTTTATTTCGATATGGTTTCAAAATTGCACTCCTCTATTTTTTGGTGGCATTCACACATTTGATGATGTCGACAAAAATTCCTTCTTTGCTGATTGATTTTTTCACTTTACAAGATTAATTCACATTTTCTGTTGAATGCAATATCTTAATACTAATAACGTTTTTTATTACAAAGAATGGATTTCMATAATTTGTAATCTTCAAATTAAATAAATTATGGTCATAAATTCAATAAAAACAACTCTTACAGAATTTCCAAAAAAATTTACTTGATTTATCACACACCGACAAATGAATGAATGAAAGAAACTGCAAAATGAATGCAATAACACAATGCTGCCATTACGACGAATTTATTAAGTCTCACGAAATCCAAAAAAATATATATCGACTTATTTAAAAAAGGTGATACTAACTCTAGATTATTTTTATTTAACTAGTATTTAAAAATAAAAGTATGCTCCATTAATCCGAATTTTTTTTTTCTATATTTAGCTGTTGTAATTTGTTCTAATGTGAATTCATGTAACATATATTGCGAAGAGTCCGATCATATACTTGTTAACTGAAAATACAGGGTGTCCAAAATATAACGTAAAATTTAAATTGTCCGCCATTACAATTAATTTTCACAGTCAAAGAAGTTACAGAACTATTCCGACCATATTTTGTATGAAATTTTCAAACTGCGACCGCCAAGCTTTAATGATTTTTGAAATATTATCAAATAATGAAGACATTTTATTCTATCTTGTAACGCTCCATTTTTTAGTTAGCCTAAACTCTCAACTGTCGAATTATTTTCAATACCTTACATCATAAATAACGACAAATTTAAATATTGCATTGATTTAGTGACATGCGAATTTAATTCCAATCTAGCGCGAAATTTTTTGGCCCTTATATGCGATGCTATGGAAATATACACACCAAGTCTTAGTTTCGAATTTAACTCTGAGTAATGTCCAAAGAATATTTTGGAATCCGGTTAGTTCCTACAAAAACAGCATACTATTCTTCATTCAATTCCGATATTAAAGAGTCCTTTTGTATTATTTCTGTATTCTCACASCAAATTTTAACATGTAAAGTTAAAYGTAAATTTATTTTAGAGCCACAATTTAGAAATTCTAATATATGTGAATGTATGTACGTATTTACTTTGAAATAATTGAACAATTACATTTGCTTCACAGTTTGTTACGAAATACTATTTAAAGTAGGAATTAAATACCATCAGTAAATACATAAGTAGTAAATACAACTTAATGGACATATAAATTTATTCGGGGATATAATCGTTTTAAGACTTACAATAAGGTTGGTTAAAAATTGTAGACAATAAAAAATATATGAAATGGTTCATCTATAATATGGGAGTAGTACTCGAATGACAATTTTAATATTGATAATAGTACAATGAAGTATACATATGTATGTATATATACAAATTTTATTAAATCTTCAATGAAAGAACAGATATTATCAATTACTGTAATTTTTTAAATAAATTTAAAACTATTTATTTTTCATATCTTAGTTTTTTTTATCAATTATTTGGTAAGAATAGCTTCGTTCGCATTTCATTATAAAGTACAAAATTAAAAATAAAAACTGTAACCTCCCATTTTTAGCTGTACCCCAACGGTAAAGAAATGCGCATTGGTTTGTATGTATGTATGTATATACGGTTTCATCTTATCAAAATAAAACATACAGACATACGTACTTCACATTTCAATCAATTACGATAAAATTCGCATTTCCTTTTTCTAATGTCGGAAACCCACTAATTTTGCCATCCAGTGACTTTGATTTAATCATCATTTACAAACATATCAGCAACAAGACGATTTTTCCGGTTCCGCCATAACCAAATTAAAATCTAAACTACTTGGACGTGCAAACCCAGTTTTTATACCGTCCCAGCCGTCCTCTACTTTGTATTCCCCTGAACGTATTCGCGTATATACCTCTTGTGTAACCATACGAAAAGCTTCTTCAACGTTAACACCATTTCGAGCTGAAGTTTCAACAAAATGCAAGCCGTTTTGGTTGGCAAATAATTGAGCTTCCTCTGTAGTTACTTCTCGACGACCACCGGCATTTACTAGGTCTAATTTACAACCGACTAATGCGAACACTGGGCGATGTGGTTCAATGTGACGTTGGGCTTCCATCATCCAAAGTGGAATATGTTCAAAACTGGCATAATTTGTTATGTCATATACCAACAATACTCCAACCGAGTTTCGGTAGTATGATTTTGTAATTGATCGAAAACGTTCTTGACCAGCTGTGTCCCATAGTTGTAGTTTTATTTGGGTTCCATCCTTCATTTCCATCAAGCGGGCAAAAAAGTCAACACCAACAGTGGGGTCAGATAGCTGTAACATTAATTATTAAATTAATATCAATATATACGCATAAGCATTTAAATATTGCAATAAGTGCAAACATACGTAAACGACGTATTCGCTTAAAACAGATGTTCAACAAAGGAGAATAATTTATCAATTAGTACATCTTTGTTTATTTGTGTGTATGTGATTACTGTCTCTGTTCAATTATGTAATTTACATATCAACATTTTTTTATTAAACTGAGCAGTCTTAGAAGTTTCTTACCTCGGCGAATTTGCCATCTGTAAAGAATTTGAGTAACGAACTCTTGCCCACTGTACTATCACCAATTAGAATCAGCCGAAACTGGTAATCAAAAATAGGTTCAACCATTCTGCAAGTTGTATCTAATAAAGATTGAAATATAAGAAATACAGTGCAATTGCTATAATTATCCCACACTTTATTCATTAGACAGATATGTACTATATAAATATGTTACTTTTGTGAATCACTTCCTCCCAAATCCGTTTATTGTGAAGATTTACTATATCAAATGCGAATAAAAATTATTCCTGTGAYTAATATTTTCTACAGAGCTGCTTTAGTTTTAAAGTGTATATAATGGATCCGTTTATATTGATTTGGTTCACTATTGGTAATATGGTAAGGTATTTAATTCCAAATGGAGCACCAAATTTAGTTACAATGTCTCTAATGGAATATTGCGACGTATTAGCCCTATGTTCACCACTTGCGTTTTATTTTSCAACTTGAACTTTGTTTATAATATTAGAAGAAAATTGCCTATTGTTTTTTGTTATTTACTTCGTCGCATTCACTATGAAAATTTGATGCTGATAATCAAGTGTGAGTGATAAAGAGTGGTTTGCCTTGAAATGTCAAAAAATTGACTACAACATAGAGGAAGAAAAGACAGAAACAAATTTTTGGCGTTTCTTCTATTCTTGATAGTTCTGTTTGAAAAGTGAACTCGAAAATGAATAATTTTATTATAAACATATATATATGGATTGAAAGTATTCAATACAATAGTAAGAGAATACATATAGTTGTCTAACTATTAATTATAAATATTAAGCATATATTATGAACAATATATGGAATCCACAATTTTTGGGTGGATTTTATATATTTGTATGTTCAGATGTAGTTTTTATTTATGGTGAATGGCAGTTCCATTCAAAACGAAGAAGAAGAAAGTAAACAAACACACGTGGGTTAATTTTGTTCGAAATAGAATTTTACACCAGATAGACGTGAAAAAATGGTACGTAATAGAAAAATCCCTGCCCGCAAACACCATGGAGTTCGAGACCCACTAAAACAACTTGAAGAAAAAGAAAAAAAGTATTGCGTCCAGTTATATTTATACCAGCATAAATATAATCATATACATATACTTTTAGACTTAGGAAAGTTACGAACAATCCTCCTGAACGTGATAATCAGCAAGTTTCTTTCAAATTTACACAATTTAAAAAGCTGGTTGAAGACACCAAAGCTGGAAAGAAAATTAAGCGAATACATAAAGGTAAAGAAGATATGCCTAAAGATAAATTAGCACACCCCAAAAAAATTGGACATATTCAACAATTAAAAGAAGAGACGGATGAAGATTACTTAAAACGTGTAAATAGAATAACGTCGCAATCCTTACGGGAAGCACAATACGAAGCTAAGTATGGTGTAAATGTTATTCGAAATGCAAAAACTGGAGAAATTTCAATAACCAAGAAGCCAAAGAACGAAATTGATGAATTATTAAAAGAAAAAAGAAAGAATAGAGATAAAAGTAATRTATCCAGAAATAAAGGAAAAGAAAAACCAGGAAAGCCTCTGGATCCTGAAGTTGCAAAAGAATTGATTAAACAAGCCATTAAAGAAGATAAAGAAGAGGTAAATTTTTCATAACACAAAATATGTTTTAAAGGAATTTTCGATATTTAAYTGCAGAAATCCCATCAAAATCACGATTTAGAAAAATATAAACATGATATAGTACGCTTTGGAGAAATTGTACATGCACCACCAATAATTACAGCATTGCCTCGAAGAGCTGAAAAATTTGAAACCGTTCCAAGAGTAAGATGATAAAATATATATATCAATGCCATGTTTAACTCTTTTTTTTCAGCCAGGAAAAAAAGCTAGTTTGCTACTTAAAACATTACTGCCTACTACCAAATGTGATCAAGGCCAATTAGAGAGTAAATGTAAATCAGTTTCAATTAAAACAGAGAACGTAAGTCTTAGCGGCAGGAGGAAGAAACTTCCTGTGGCTACAAGAAAAATGATTGAAGACGAACAAAGCAAATTTATCGAAATTTATAGAAATATGAAGAAAAAACAAGTATTAACATCTTGATAATCAGGATTAGAATTACAGTGTAATTGTTTTTATTTTAAAGCTAAAAGATAACAAAACATATTTTAAATAAAAATCGTCTATTTCATTTAGCTAAAAGTTCGTCTTTTTTGGCTATAATTGATTTTCACAATGGTTACAGGTGTTCTTTATATTAACCATAGCAACTTTTAGCTAGCTGTCAGTTTATCTGCTATAGTTGTTACTTTTTGATTTAAAGTAACGAATCTTTCGCAGTGTGTTAATTTTTTATATACGCACGGTACAGAGTAGTAATTTGGTTTTTGATAAATCTAACTTTCCGACAAGTTAGAAACAATTGCTTTTGTGATTTATAATGCACCTGAACGCTTTTGTAATAGTTGTGCAAAGCGCTGCGTGACTAGCAGTGATGTATCAATGAAACGATCAACGCAGTTGCTTAAACATGTTTCCGTCGAACTGTCGAGTTTCGATCCTGGTTTGCCAATGCACTTTTCCCAACAGATATCATTGAATTCATGTATCTGTAAAATTTGGAGATATAATTGCACATTAGAAATATAAGGTTAATGTTATACTAACCTGTGCATTCACTTGAGCCTTTTGTTTTTCAACCATCAAAAAATCCTGTAGTTCCTTATCGCTTGAAACCGATGATAGTGAATCAAAATCAGACATGATTACAATTTATTCTAAAATAATTACTTCTAAAACAACTATATTAGATCAGCAATTGACAGGGATACCTGACCAGCTCTAATATCAAAAATTTATATAACCTCAAATAAATTATGTTCCACAAAAAGCAGAGTCAAACTTGCAGATGTTTTCCTTATACTAMATTTACATTGAAGTTGGAAAATACATTAGTATAGTATGTGAATCAAACGATCAACATACAAACAATCATGGAATAGCCATTAAAATTTGCTTGTTTAATACATATTTATAGATATAATTATTACCAAAGCAAATATGTTCATTTCAAGTGTAACATATGTAATACATGATACCATTTAGTAAAACCTTTGTACTACCAAACATAGCACTATGTGTTGACCTTATAGTTGTGTTACATTTTGTCTGACATTCGCTGTCAGTAATTTTACATCAGCTGTTTTTGTTACTTCGAAATAGGCAAAGTAAATGCAAATATGCAAGAATAGAAAATTTATTTAGCCGGATAAGGAATATCTTAATTTTTCTTTTATATTAAATTTAAACGTAAATTGACAGGCGATTGTGCAAAAATTGTCTCTTTAAATAATAAATGAAACCCATAATGATTTGGGACTGAAGTTTTAAGTCCAATTAGTGTGTTATCAAATAGTAATAATAATGAAAGAACAAAAATTGTTACTTATCCTTTCGAAGTCGTTAATTGGTTAGTAAAGTAGTTCCACATCAGATACACCTAATGTGCTTTACGATCGTCATACTTATATGATTTTGTAGAATATCGTATTAATGCATATATGTATATAAATATAAGAATTTTTACTTATTTGTTTAAAATGATATGATCAATTTGTATAGGTACCGGCTTTTTCTTTTTGTATGTTCAACATGTGCGTTCAATATTTGAGTCCCGCACCAATATTGCATATTTAACACAATTAGAACGGGAGTCTTTGTTGCGGCGGGAGGACTCGCTTTATTATTCATTTTATAAGACACTTACAGAGGAAGCAGACTTTTGGAGTGGTTACCATAAATTAACCAATTTAACTGGCATCGAGCATCCACAAAATGTGAACGTAATACAAAGGTTCCATGTGTTACCAGAATTGGCAATAGGGTATATATACCAAAAAAAGTAAATGTATATCGCTCATAATAAAGAAAATATATTTATAGATATCTCTACCATTTGCTAAGGCGATATGCTTTCACAGAAAATTTTCCAATATTTAGTTGTTGGCGGAGCAACGATGTTCGTTTGCCTTTGGAGCATCGTCATTGTGATGGCATTGGACAGCCCATGCAGTTTTACTTGGAATGCGTATGGCTTCTTGGTGGGGTCACTGTACTAGTTATTTATATATATGGAACATTACTGAGGTAAAGTTTTAAATAAATCTTTCGTAATGGGTAAATAAATATATATATATTATATATATATGTATATGTTTTCTATGATTTTAGTGAAAATATATTTGGTGGCATTTACGCAGTGGTTTCCTATGTTATGTTCCATAGTTTTGCTTCCAAGATCTACGAATCCCCTATGGCACGTGAAAATTTTGCTTTTCCAATTATTTTCATGCAAATGTTTTACCTTTGCTTGTGTATTGATCGCATTACGGAACGCAAAGCATATCACAAGCGGCTTTTTATAGTAAGACCCAGATATTTTTATTCAGCTTTTATGGTTTTCATTAATATTTCATGACTTGTGATATTTATAAATATACTCTACAGACGATGAAATTGACGCTGCTGACAGCACTTGCTCTTCTCTGTTGGCAATTTTCTTCTGTTATTTTTGCAACGCAGGTCCTTATTATGATGGCACCTTGGACGCCAAGTTTAATATCTGAGGTGGTTTCTAGTACTTTTACAATTGATTATGCGATCTCGCAACTTATTGCCACATCACTAGCCTACTACTGTTCTTTTAGCAACAAGAAATATATTTTCGCCTGGCATATTGGTCCAGCAATTGGACTTCTATTTGTCAGTATAGAGCGGCAAGTCAAACCTCAAACTCCTAATAGTGGCATTTCGTTCAAAACCATGTGGGCGGGGTTATTAGTGGCCATTAGTGTACAAGGAACTTTATATGATATGTTGGAGAGAACAGAATTCGCACGTTCAATTGACAACGGGTTCGCCCTATATCGTGATTTAATAGTGCAATGGAGCTTCCAGGCAAAAGTGAGTTTCTCTACCAGCATTGCGGCCTGCAATCCAGSTTATCAGAATTTGAATATTGACCATTTGTGGGAGCTCATAAAGACTCTAATTGTGAAACCCTATTGTATGTACGGTGTCGTGATGTTGGCAAAGTTTTTTCGCAAGTGGCGTAAGGGTAATGAAAAAAAAAATCCCAGCAAAGATAATGTGGAACGAGCCAAAAAATATGTGCTCGAAGATTTTTTGGAAGAAAACCACATATCAATGGGCGATATGTCAAATAAAGAGACGGAGAACGATTTAAATGAATGTCTTAAGTTACTGGAAGATTGTAACTATGACTACAATCGCTATAAACAGGAGAAAACTAAGTCGAAGAATAATAAAGTCATTGAACACGAAGAGTTTATGAATAACATAAAATTATTAAAAGAGCAGATTAAAGAAGGTACTCGAAATATTTCTAAAATTAACCATTCTGAGACTTCAGGAGAGCAACACGAAGAATGTACTCATGGAAATGTAAAACCGTCCATAAGTGAGAATAAAGCAACAATAAACAGTGATTCGATCCCAGCAGCACCAAACGTTGAAATAAACGATTCTGGGAATGATACGAATARCGGCAGTTTTACTGATAGTAGTGGTATAAAAAGTAGTGATGGTAATAAAAACACACGACGTACACGGCAGAAAAGCTCGGACTGCGAAGCTTCTAAAGYTGACTATCATAGCGATATTACAGGTTTCCACTATGTCTACAGCTTTGTACAAATGGCAGTTTTTACCGCCTTAGGGCTTTGTATAAAAAAGTTATTCTTCCTTTGTTTCACTCAAGGCTGTGTTATTGCGCCGACAATATGTTCTAAGTTTTGGTATCACAAACAACGCAATATATTTTGGGCAGTATCATTGGCGGTTTTTTTAACCAGCATGGTTAATCCCGGTTTAGTTGTAAGTATTAACTAGAGCGAGATCTATTTTAGTATTAAGTTTTTAAAATCCGTTTTWTTTGCATCCGTATTTTAGAATATACGTGAAGAATACTTTCCTACACGCTCAGGACATGCTAGTGATGATTTGGATAGCATGTTGGAATGGATCAAAATTAATACTGAGCGCGACGCTGTTTTTGCAGGTTTTACGCAATAACTACAAATTTCTCACAATGCCTTTATTACCATTTTGAAAATTACAGGTCCAGTAGAAATTATTGGCACGGTGCATTTAGTTACTAGACGACCGATTGTAAACCATGCTCACTTGGAAATACGTCACATCCAGTAAATAAATTTGAAATTAAAATAACGAATTTAGATATATTAGAATAAGAAAATATGCATTTCAAACAAGAGTGCAATACATAACAGCATAAATTGAGTTGCGCCTCTCTCTTGCACCATATGTGGTTGTGACTATGAGATTGTGTCTGTCCTAAAAACATGATGTAATAATATAGGTCATCACATTTCAAATTCACTGTTGCCGGACTATATTGAAGAGAAAATTCAAAAAGGCCCAGTATCTTTAAATGCCTAAAAAGCTTTCCATGAAAAACATATTTAAATATTTCTGTTCTATATAATACCCATAATATTGAAGTGTTAAATCATTGTGACTTTTTTTTTAATACGATTTGATTTTAATGTTGCTGTTTTATTATAATTTGTAGTGAACGCACGGAACATGTCTACTCAGTGTTCAGCCGTCAACAGTCATCAGATATTTACAATCAATACTCACAACTTAAAGTGCAATATTTAATTATATCGCTTCAGGACTGCAGCAATGAAATTCGGTGCGTGAATTTTACGATACTTAGTTTTTATATCTGTATAAAAATATTTGTTTGTTTATGGTACTTTATTTATTTTATATATTTTAGTGATGAATGTGACCTACTATCGATTTGGGATGATCTGCAGCCGTCGAATCGCAAATATCCGCAATTTTGTTCGGAATTGGCAAACAAGAATATACCCAGCTTCTTGAAAGTATTCTCTAATGATTATTACGGTATTATTAAGATGTTTTCGCAGAGTGTACAAATTAATTTGAAGCTTAGTAAGATGCCCGAAAAAAAAATGTAGCCAAGTAGCCAAACTTGCTTCGATTGTAAGTGAAGCAATGGTAGGAAAAGTGGCCAAGAATTTAAAATGTCAATTACGTTATTTTATTTATATACCAAGTTTCATGTTACGTTCATATTTTATATATATTGTAATTTTGACAAGAGACACTTTAAGCCTCGATATATTACGATTGAACATCGATTTCGCTGTATTTAATAGTTGTGGTTAAATGAAAATAATTTTTAAGAAATACAAACTACTTATGTAGTAGATGTCCTAATGTACATTCATACATACATACATATGTGAATATGAAAAGTGTAGAAAGCTACACAAAAAAAAGATATAAATATTGAAGTTTGTTCAAAGGGAAATCTTTTTTTCTTAAAAGTTTTGAATCGTAATTTATTGCTCTATAACACCGAATGCCGAGTTTACTGAATTTTATATAGACTGCTCTCTTGCATTCCATTTCTGGCTTATTTGTATTACCTGCATTAAAAAAAACTAGAATGAAAAAAAACTAAGTTTMAAAGCTAAGTTTATTAGCGACCTTTATTAATTTGCATGAGAAAGTGGCCTCTATGTTGCCTTTTATGTTACATATGTTTCTACATCTTCATATCTGTATTTGAAATATTCGGTTGTTATTTAATTACAATTCTTGTTAATGAAAACATTGCTGAAAACCGTATTTCAAGCGTAATGTTTATTCTTTAATGAAGCATTTCACGTGCAGTAAGCAATCATAGTTTTTGTTTTAATTAAGAGCTAATATCGGATATATCGGATATATCGGATTTAGGAAATTTGCTAAGCGTTTAAGACGCATAATATAATATATTTTGTTAAAAAAAAAGAAAATAATATTATGTACATATAGGCTGTTCTCTATGTAATTTAAAATATTGAATTTTAAGGATGAAGAGACTGCCAAATCTAATGCATGAGAAATATTGCAATAAATTGTATTATTTTTAGTTACATACGTATATGGCAGATATGTTTCCATTATATTTTGAGTATACTTTATTCATGTTTTGGAAAGTGTCGATAAATTAGCAAACAATATTCTACAGTCTTAAAATTGATCTTATAGTATTCATTTATTCTTATTTTTCTTCAGTGATTTATTTGTTCTTTTACTTCAAGGAGACTAGTAAGTAGCAAAATAACGTACTGTTACATACTATACGACTAACCATCCTAACAGCTGCAATTTAATAACGTTGTGGGCATATGTGTTGTAGCGGATTAGGAGGCCAATGCAAAAATATACATAGATATTACTTTCATTATAATTGTGTTTTCTCGTAAAATGTGATTTACTATATTTGTAAATAAACGTATCAAAATAAACTTTACTTACTGTTGTAATTGGGAAATACTCAGTTAAGTAGTGACTGTATGTATTCATTGTTTTAAATTGAGTAAGTAATTATAGTATTTTTTTACCAGTTACACGTACACTTGCCAGATCATCGACGGGAACAGAGGTCTCCATATACTGAATATATGTATATATTTTTGAGAACTCCATATTCTGACTATATATATATTTGAGTAGGTGTCTTTCTCTATCAAATTTGTTTTTGTGGGAGCCTGAATATGATTTTAACTGTTTATCAAAACAGCTCTATGTTTACTCAAACAATTTATATCTGCTATAAAATGCAAAATTATTAATGTTAAGGGTCACTAAAGCAATCCTCTTTTTGTGTTTAGTTGGTAACTCTACATACTAATGAAAATGTAATATTTGATACAAAAACATGTTTCACTTACCCTTTGCTTTAGTATTATTTTCTATTGAAATGCTGGTTGATAAAGTATAAAAATACTTTGAATCTTCGCTTTATTTTATTTGTATAAATTTATTTAATTACAGTTAGTTTGCGACATATACATATACAAATACCTAAAAGCTTTTAATATTCGAAGCATATTCAGCGGTGTTTCGGTATACATACTTTGGGGCTTTTATCAACTCTAACACTAACATACGGCGCGTTTTACACTTTATATGCATATACATATATACATACATACATATATGTATACGTATTTTTTATTAGGGTAAACCATAAATYATAAGTGATACATTTGTCTCAATGATTGCTTATAAATTAACAAAGTAGTTATTTAAGACTTTACAATCTACGCACACAAAGGTGTGTATGAATCAATCGTCATTGCATTTAAATACCTATGTATGTATGTCGCAATAAAAATTCGCTGCTTTATTTCTAAAAATAAATATTTACACAWAAGCATAAGTGTTTGCATTTAATGTTCAATTGTTATTATTAATATTATTTAATAATATTTTACATTTCTTTTTTGTATAATTGCATTTTGAAGGCGTTTTGATCACTAAATTTAATGCGGCTCTTATTTGAATGCTTTTAGTTTTCACACGCTGTGGTTGTTGTGCTTGTTGTTTTTCGTATAATCGTATAACTACCTTTACACACATATGTCTGTATGAATGTGTGTACACTTGTATATGCCCTCAAATCAATTTCGTCTTTAATAATATTAAGGGCTAAATAATTTAAAAAAGATCTCCATTTGTTGGATGACATCAAGGCACCAACCACAGATGGGAGGAGAAGCAATTAATTGACACATGGGGTAACTTAGTGAACAAATCGGATAATTGCGTTTCTGTTATAAGTAACATTTATGAGATATGGTCATGGTTGAGCAATTAAGCGCCAAGTATCCTAGAGTTATGTACCATATAAAAGAAAGATATCGGAACAACGTGGATAACGATATATTGGGTAGTCAAAAAAGTCTTGCGTTGCAGTCGTATATCTCCAGTGCTGCCAATAGTGTTGGAAGTTCGGGGAAGTTGAAAAAAATTATCAATTCGTGTAGAACAACAATGGTTCGCTCCTTTCCGTTCTAGAAATTTCGAAATTTAGATTCACACTGATCGAATAATGACTCTAACGGAAAAATGGGAAAAAGTGGCCGAGCAAAATGGTACATATTTGTCTGTTTATTTATTATTATAAACATAAAAACATATGTTAAAATTGTATTAGAAGTACGAAAATAATTTTTCTACTACCCAAGATAAAGAAATCTACGCTTCAACCATTCTGCCTTCCATCATATCTAATTTTAGTGTCGAATGGTTGGATAYTTTTACTACAATTTCAGACAGGCATTTGATTTGGACAATAAGTAAGTAAGACCAAGATTTATTCAATGTATTTAATTACTATAATATAACTTTTAGACTGTTCTTTACATCGGACAATTACCAAATACATTTAGCCGATTTGGCAATTGTTTCTAATCGCTATAATTATCTGATTGTCATGAAATAAAGAAACGGAATGTACCATGAAGGGAAAAACAAATAATTCCGCTAACACCTCWCTCATTCCACTGGATTCGTATCGCAATTTATCACCACTTTGTCGATTTAAGGACACCAAACCTAACTCGTACCATATAATGCTTTCGACAAGGTGAGGGAAATTCTGGATAAAATCAAGAAGATCGAAGAACCGCGCAGTTATACCAAAAAATAACAAACAAATGATACAATTGTATTTATACTCAATGAGTTTATGTATCACTACCATTTTAGTGTTTAAAAAACAACGTCTTGGGCCCCACAAAAATGTAAAATTTATTCAATCTTCATTCAAATTTGAGCGCTTGCTTTAGTTAATAATTTTGTAATATATTAAATTTATTAATACATAGAGTTTTCCAATTGAAATTTTATCACAGCAACAATTATTTATGCATATCATTTCATCCATTATTTGGTAGTAATTTCCTAAGTTCTAAGCAGCTTCTTTTTCYAGTCGTGTTTGCTTAGGCATATGTGTGTGTGTAACTAAAAACGGATTTAATTTGGAACAGAAACTCATTAATTTCGCCTGGAGATCTAATAGACTGAGTATATCCGATGAAAGTTAAAAATCAAAGTAGAAGATAAGTGGCTCATTAAGTACGATACAGTATTACGACAGGCTAGACTGCGTTGTTCTCTATATAAAGCACAATAAAACATTGGCTCGGTCGTGCTCGTTCTCGTGCTGAAATTCACTCTGTTGGGGATTAAAACCGAAAAGGGTGGAAATTAACTTTAATAAGTGGGTCGCGTTTCACGAACTAAGATGTGTCGTGAGTCTGTATGTATGTATTCGAGTAAGYTTTTTTCAATATGCGTTTTAATAATTTTCTAAGTGTCTAACTTTGTGTTTGCTTGTATGTACATATGTGTGTATATTCAATAACAATTTGCTTAGGCGTTAATTTATAAAATTTGATTCGTAACAAAAGCTCGCTTATATTTTCTTAAATATAAGTACCTACATTCTTTTTTATGCGAAAATTTCTTTCATTTTTGTAACTATTTTTACAAGTAGTACAATTATTTTTCTCTTATTAGTGTTAACAAATAATTGCTTACAATCTTAAGCTAGCATTGAAGCAACGGTACTGCAATCTCATCATAAAAATTTTATCTCAATACTGCTGAGAAGAATTATGATTTTCTATATTCGAAAATATGGATATTAACAATTTAAAATCTATATGGTGAATAAAAATAACCTGTACAAGGGTGCAAGCTCTTAGTAGTATAAATCACAAACGTCCCAAAATKTGAGCAAAACCAAATGTAAATAATAATAAGTGTACAAATGCTATTTCCTTCGCCGCATCCGTTAGAGGCGTCATCCGATTTAACTCAAATGCGTCTTATTGTGGGGCCGGTGAAGAAAACCGACACTTTTCGCTTGAATTTTTCCATGGGTGGCTCGTGATCCGATTCTTCACTCTCGTAGCCATCACTCTCGTCGTCTTCACCAAAGATGATAGTTCGTGTGTACGGTTGCACTGGCTCGGATCCATCCGACTCACAGAAACCTGGATTCAGTATTATATTCGGTATAAGCTCTATGCTTTCCCAACCGTTCTCGAAATCTATATGTTCAACAGGAATTCGCGTTATGTTTTTCAATAAGTCGGCGATGTATATTTAATGCATAGAGAAATTGAGAGTGTACATATAGATWTATGAGTTGTATTTATGTTATTTGTTTTTTAATTTATTTGTTGTGATTATTTTTATTTTCATATTGCGTGAATAGAATTTATTAGGATTTGAGTGAGATTTTTAGTAAAAGAGAGAGAAAGAGAGAGAGAGAGACGCATAGTGGAATGGAAAAGAGAAGAATAAAGAAAGAGTGTATTTTGAAAAGGCCGTTAATCCCGTTTTATAACTGTAAAATTTTAATGTCATTTAAGATGGTATTGATGTCGATGATGATGGTGTGCGCATTGAGCAAAGTGACTGGATAGTTGGTTGCCAATGTTGACATTATAAATTTCTCTTTTAGGTAGCAAATGACTAAAATAAAAAAGTAAATAAATGTATTTACAGAAGCAATTTTCATCAACGAATGCAACAATGTATTTTTATTATATATTTAAATTCTATCAACAACAGCAACGACAACAACAATATAATAACATTGACAACAACACACATTATACAATTCATTTCAACATATTTACAGATAAGATAATTAATTTACAATAATACATGAATATTTATTTTTTGTATTTTCCTTTAGCTTCTTGCTCTAAACAACAATAAAGCTTAATACTATTTGAGTGAAARGTGGAAAAGTGTAAATCTCTAAACTACCGTATTTTAAGTACACATATTTATGTATGTATATTTAATGTATAATATATATACAAAGCTTTTGCCTAAAAAGTTATTATTTTCTAGTTCATTGATTGTCYATTTGAAATGTTAGATTTCTTTTAGTTAAGCTTTCTGAGAAATTATTGAAAATCATAACCTAAGTTTAAAGGGAAATCTAAAAGCAAATTAAAATTTATACACATACATCCACGTCTCAACAAACAACAATATTAAAATATAGTTGCGAACTTTAATATAGAATAAATTTTTTAAATTTTGATTTCTGAATTTGAAGTAATGCTTTTGGGGTTTATCCCATAAAGTTAAATATATACATATATTATATATGCGTGTTTATTATTTTACTTCAAACATCATGGTGAGCCTTAAGGTAATGGTTATGTGTACGTTTCAAATCAAAAACTGCTAAAATAAAACTTGAAATTATCGGAAAATTTTCTATTTTTGAAATGCGGACGTCGTGGTATAGTGATCTGAAGTTTTAACTAACCGCGGCAATTCWTCCTCGGTCCATATGTATACATGAATACATATTTGTTTATCAGAAAGATATGTATATACATAGATGTGCCGAAGTATATTTAGGTACTATTCGAATAAGAATCATAGGAATCATCAAAAATTAAGATGACCGCCTTTTCCATTTATCAAGATACAATATAATCTTTATATGTATCTTTCCTCTGCAGAATGGTTTTAAATATTTCCTATATATGTACATTTATGCTGGAACTTATTGTTGTTTCATGATACAGTGCGCTCACGAAAACTCGAACGTACGAAAAAATTCAATATTGGTAGGTCCAAATTTGTGGAATTGTAAAAAAGAAAAACAAATTTTAGAACGTGTTAACAAAATCGAGCCCTGGAAGATGTGAAACGCTCCGTGTTTCAAAACTTCCGGCAATAAAAATGCATTTTACAAATGTGTTTTATTACAACTCAGCAAGAATTACCCAATCAACGGAATAATTTTAAAAGAAAAAGCTAAGGAGTTAATCAAGGATAGCTCAAGACTTTTTGCCAGCGATGACTTATATATGTCCTGACTAAATTTACAATGCAGATGAATTCGAAACAAGTGAATAGAATATTTAAGCATTTTAACTCCTCAGTGAAGTACAAAGCCAGCCTAGATGACATCCACTCTGTTCAAAAATTCGTTTCACTTTTCGTTTATACCACAGGCAACTACACTACCCTCTAACAAATCTATTCTTTTCGATTCGGTCGGATTGCCTCAAAAGGGTTTACTTCTTCTTGAAAACGTAGTTTCGCATCTAAACGAAAATGAAATAAAATCTGAAGAATATCACTCCTTTCATTCAACCAATGAATCAAACGCAATCAGAGTAATAAAACTTCAGTGATGCTATTAAATCTTTGGTTCAGAAAAGAGACTTCGGTCTTGTGCTGGATAAATATATTAAACTTTGCCAACCTGTAAGACGACGTTCCCCAAATGGAAGCTTCAACTCAAGTAAGTTTGGAAAAATAAGCTGCAAATATTCTCAAAGGCTTAGACCTCATCATTAACAACAATTAACTTATATTAGGTTCCTTTTACAGAAGAATAAATAAATAATTGSATTAAGGGCAACTACTTGATTGAGGAGAAACTCATTGGGAAAAATTCTGAAGATGGATTTTAGACTGAAGGTGAAAATGARCCAAAACGCATTAGTTGTTGCATATGCTGAGAAGTTAATACGAAAAAGAATTAATTTGTTCAAATCATTACGCGAAATGACCCTAAATTAGAAAACGATCTATGTATGTACATGTGACATACACATGTTCCTTCTATTCTTCATAAAAATAAAAAGTACAAATGTTTCAATAAACTGGTCATGAATTATAAAACAGCAAGCCACAGAATTCTATTATTTTGAAATATGCAAGAAAAATTTAATAGTTATAACTATAAAGACCGATAAAACGAATAAATAAATTAAAATACATAACAYTCAAAGACTTGAACAATTCGTTAATTCGAACAAGTATGGATTTCATTAATTCGAGTTTTTGCGAGTGCACTGTAAATATGTATAAATATATAAGAATGAAGAAGATACAAGTACAAAAGAAGAAGTGTGCATTATATTTCAGTATTAGAAATGAAAAAAATTKTATTACATGTATATTTTCATATTTGTTAAACCCGAATTTCGAGCAATTAAATGTGCAAAACACTAAGAAACACTAAGGGGTGTTCAGATTGCACTCGCTACAAATCGAATGAAAGTTCTAAATCAGTTTCCGTTGTCTATAATTGCATGTTGAAATAAAACTTATATTTTCTACCAACCTTTGACTCATTACACCGTACAACACAAGCTGGAAGATACAGTAAGTGTACCGAATCAAACAAACTATTAAAGCAACTAAGGACTTTGTACACCATTTCAAAAGATCAAAAGTTGAAGTCTGAAAACTTGAAATAATAATAATTTCAGTATTGTATTGAAAGCTTCGGATTTAAAACAAACAATAATCCATTATAATTTATTTGCTTATTTCCAGAAATTTAAACTTTATTCTGCATAATGTTCCAATGCTTTATCTTATTAAACAAAATTTGGCTTTATGTTCCATTAAATGAGCAATTAAGCCAGCAGCAGTGCATAGTTATACGCATTAGAGGCTTCATGTAGGGCTTCATTTACGCAAAATCTCAGGTCAAATTTGATATTTGATAAAAAAAGAAATATTTACTACTTTTTCCTGTTCATCGATTTCAATGCAATATATATTACATACATATACATATATAGTAAGTAAGTGTAGTGGTCCATTTTATCAACAAAAAACTATTTCCTTCAAACTGTGTACTACGGGTGGTATACGTAACATTCGAATGTAATATATTTGTATTTAATTCTGGAAAAGTAGGCACGAGTAATGTGTTATATTCGATAGGTTCTGTCACATCATGTTGAACGGCGCTTTAAATAGACACACATATTTACAAGAGGGAAYTTTTCGCAAGCGATCTAAAACACCCGATATGCAAACAATAATAATATTTACACACTTCAATCATTCAAAAATTGACAAAATACTTATTTAGGTTTATAGAAACATAAATACATACAAGTATCAAAGCAAAAGACAAATTGTACACAAAGCAAAATAAGGAATAATGATAAAATAATAAAGGGCGAACAACAAAGACGCGCTCAAAATGAAATTAAGCCATGACAACAACATTCAAATTGCGTTCAGCATCTGCATTAGGTATATTACGAGTAGCTATAGCACTGGTGGCGGTGTAGTTAGTGTTACTAGTGATATTGTTTGTAGTATCTGTATTATGATTAGTACCCGTTTGCGATGATTGATAACATTCTTTCGATAAAACTATACATAGTCCAATTGCTAATATCACAAGAGTTCCAAGTACAACACTGACGGCGATTATCCAAATGCGCGGATCGAAATTATCTAAGTCGGGTTGTATAAGGCGTATTAAATCTATATAAGAAAGAAAAAGATATAAAAAAGAAAGATACGTGGAAAGGCGAGTTACGAACAATAACACACAACAAAATAGTAAAAGTTACTGGTAGTAATAGCAAAAAGTCATATTCATGTTAGTTTCTTTACGTACATACATATGTCGGTAATGTTCATATATATGATTGTATGACTATGTGTATGTTTGTGTGTTGGAATGTACGTATATGTATATTTAGGATGATAGACACATTTACAGATACATTTTTAAAGGCTACATACATTTATGGAAATGTGGAAATTACATTTTGATAATAAATTACATAAGAGTGTAGAAATGATAACTTTTTAGCTGGTCAAAGATTGTGGGGGGTTTATGCTTAATGAAAGAAAGAAGTTATTGCTTGAATAATATGAAAGAGTATTCGGGAACAATAAAGAAAAAAATTTAACGCTTAGCCGAATTCCAAATATTTTAAATGTGCGGCACATTTTCTAAACATTTTAAATATTCTTTTATTTTTAAGTTATTTAGATCGATTCGGCTGTTTTTCAAGTAAGGCGATGAGGGGCAATTAATTTAAGTTTGTTCATGCCAAAAAGATATCTATGTATGTTTCAAAAATTGAGATACACAAGTGACAGTTGATACCCATATTTTGTGTTGGAGAATTTTTATTTTTTATGAAGATGGACTTATTAAAATTCCCAATTTAATGTTTCCTCAATTGCAGTGTGTTTTTAAATTAGCAAAATAATATTTTGTAAGCAAACAACCATTGTCTCCTTTTTCCGATTCCGCAAKTAATTAAATATTTTATGATTTTTTTTCTTGCGGATATAAATTATACGAAGATTTGTATTTTTGCTATCGAATACAATTAAGGATTGTACGTTTGCCATGTTCTTCCTAGCGCTTACTCACTGAAATGAAACACATTTGCACATTCTCTGGYATTGTTCCAATCGAAGATCACATTATGTAGAAATGTGCAAATTCCACTCTAAGTTTTTCATACATTCCAAAAAAAAAACTATGAGGCAAAGTTGTTCAGAATGATTCGATTCCGGCATACGCGATTWAGAGTATTTTAAGTAAGTTGGCTTTATTACAAGACTTTTATAAGATTGTTATTAAGTGTTTTCTGTCTGGCTGTGTGTCACACTCACCTTCCTCTTTGGTTTCAGGAAGCGTTGTTACATTGGTGGTAACAACCTCGCCACTGCCTAACTGGTTGTTGGCCCATATCCGAAATTCATACGTAGTGTTGGGCTCCAGGCGATATACCTCCATTTGCCGCTGAATCCGTCCGTTGATATTCGATAAGATGTTAATTTAAAAAAACATATGAATATATTATTTTTGAAATAATTAAGTTAGTGCGACTCTTATCGAATGGGTGGCGACAAAGATATGAAATGAATGCAAATGAAAATTATAGCACGCAAGTGCCAAGTACCAGGGTTGTTTTCCATTGCATGCACATGAAATAACGGAAATATTTTGCTCATGTCATGTGGACTTAATGGCCACTTGCCATCGAAATATTTGCAATACCTACATACATATGTATATTATATTAAGTGCACTGGTACTGGCATTGTAACGATTGATCAATTCCAGGGTTTCAATAAAAATGGACTAAATAGTTAGTCTACATAAAATATATATTTGTGTAGGTGCATTTTCTAACTTACAACATTCGGCGCAATATTAATTGGGTCCATACGACTCCATTCGTGTTCGAACGATTGGTTGTAGGGTGTCTCATTATACGAAACATTGCGAAATTCGGCAGTAAAGCTGCGCACTGGATAACCACCGGAATTGGTTTTGTTAAAACGCCAGATTAGAAACCCTAGAATAGTGGATGCTTTGAAGTAAAGTTGTGTAACAGGCCCTGGCGGTGTGCGCACGGCCAAGTTGACCTTTTCGACAGCTTGGTATTCTTCCGCCTCGGTKTCTTCTTCGCTCTTATCACCATTATTTGCTTCTGTCTTCCGTTCTGCGTCCGGTATAGGCGCTTCCATTGTCTGTCCACCATTGTTTAAGGTGGTACTTTTGTCAGCTTTTGAAACTTGCTGCGCCGTCGATATATTCACTTTGTTTTCATTTGCATTTGTGGCGGTGGCTACGGCTATTGTGGGCACTGGCGTTGGAAGCGATGAGGTAGTTGAAGCATTTGTTGCACTTATGTGCACCATTGTTGATACGTTTATATCTTCTAATGATGATAAGGTTGATGATGATGACGTTGACGTCAATATCAACGATGACGCCGTCGATGGCGAGGCAGATGTAGGCAATGATGCTGTTATTGATTTTCTCTGTTCATTTGTTGCTTGTGCATTGGAGCCGGTAATGGGGGCGGAAGATTGACGTGGAGGAACCGCAGCAAAGCAAACGTATAGACCACGTTCGTCTGTCGATACATTGGTTAGCACTAAAAATTTACCTGTCTGCAATGGAGAATATAATGTATAATCTATTAAATTATCAACGTGAATTAAATACTTGTATATGCGCATAAATGTACATGTATCGGAAAATTGAAGAAATATAAATTATTTTCTATTAGCGCAAGTGTCGGTGATTTTCGTCTATTGAGACAATATACCTAAGCAACCGTTTCGCAAGCTATATTTCGACAATCTTGTGGGCAACGAAGCTAAATGCTAAKACTTTGGATAGTTACCCTAATCCGTACGGACTCGGATTTTTATCAGACAGGGGCTGGGATTAATGGATTCAGTCACCACTACCCAACCAACAACAATTAATAATTTGTTATTTCTATCCATATATCATATTTATTTGGCGTGACCTACAATTTCCGTGGAATAATAAATGCATTTGCACTACGCCTCTGGCTTTCGAATTTCGTATTTTCTCAAGTGGAAATAATTTCAATGTTTAGCCCCTTGCCGTTGCCTTGCATAATACGCAAATTTACAATATTTTCAGCCGCAAGTCTTTACGGCTGCTCAAATTCAGATGTTTGAATCCATTTCAATTGTAGGTATGGTTATGTCTAATAGAGTATATTTTAGATCGGAGTGCCACGAACGCGCAGATATTTGTTAACAATTGTACTTATGTACATATATTAGAAAYCACGCGTTGCATGTATTTGAATATTATTATTATATATATGGATAGGTTTGCAAATATACTTATATAGAGTAATATCTAAGTAAGTGACCCTTTTCTCACCTGTATTATGGTGCTATTGTTGCCGCCTTCCTTAACCCACATWACGTTGCCCTCCGCTGTGCAGGGAATGGAAATATTTTTGCCTTTATCCGTCACGTACTCGTGGTATTTTATTGACGATGTTAAAACCGTTAGAACTGCATTGAATAAAATACAAAATATATGCATATATATACATTATATTATGTGGTTACATTTATTATTACTTGTTTAATTGTACAAGTACCTAAATAATCAAAAAGGAGAACGTATTTATAGGGCAGCAAATGGGTAAATGAATAACCGTCACTAAGGGACGGTGCTGAGAAAAGTCTCATACCCTTCAACTATTGAGCTAAAAGTTTAAAGCTTCTAAATACATAYGTACACAATTTGCATAGTGAGATTATAACGACGATCGTAAAAATCGTCGATCAATCATCATATACATATACAYATATATATACATATATTTACATAAGTATGTTTACAAGCAAACGTTAGGCGAACACACAGAGTATAAAACATGTTTTGGCTTCTTATGCAGTGATCATAAAGATTTTTCTTTAAAGTTTGTCAAAGAAGTCTATTGTAGATCTTTACAATCAATAGTATTAAGTMGTACCTCTGTAATATATAGATACCATCTAATGTTCGGTTTTGTTTAAACACTGTAATTTTTCAAGTCCTTTTTTGTTTTGAGGGTCAAAATAACACTATAGAAATCTTTGTCTTGAAATTAATCAATACGACTATGACGTACAGATTCACAATAGTTTATCAAGGAAATCATCACTTTTACTTTATACGAATGCTTTTTTAGCATGCAACCACCAGGAACAACARCCAACAAGCTTCATAAAGGTCGAAATGTCAGAAGTGGAAAGCAGCAGAGAAGTTGCTAACATGTATATACATGTACACAGGTATATTTCCGCTTCTTGTACCTCTTCTATCATGCAAATGGCGCTAGAGGTCATACTCCCCATCGGCTAGTTTTTGTTTTCAATTTAGCGTTGCTGTTGTGACAAATACAAACCGACTTTTTTAGATATGTATACGAAGTAATAAAAATCCTTAATTAATAATATCAGTTTTACAATTAACAAGTAAGGAAGGGCTAAGTTCGGGTGTCACCGAATAATTTATACTCGCGCATGACAAGTTTCATTAAAATATCTCAAGTTTTACTCAAATTACAACTTGCACGGACGGATAGACTCTACTCGTCACCCTGATCACTTTGGTATATGTAACCATATATCTGACGATATATACCGTTGTTAGCAACTTTATTGCGAGAGTATWAAAATGATGCCCTCTGAATTACATGAAAATATCTGAGAGATTTACCGATATTTTCGGTGAAAAATTAGSTTAGGTTAGGCACTGAGTTCTTCGTGTTCGATATCAGGGACCTTGAAAAGTTATAGTCCGATCACGACAATTTTTCCACAAGGGATACCTCAGCTGAAATACCGTATTTGTGTAAAGTTTTATTCCGCTATCATCATTGGTTCCTAATGTATATATTATACAAAGAAGGCATCAGATGCAATTCAAAATAGCGTTATATTAGAAGAAGGCGTTGTTGTGAACTGATTTCACGCATATTTCGTACATGTCATCAAGGTGTTAAGAAAATCGGCCGAGTAGTTCTTAAGATATGGTTTTTGGTCCATAAGTGGGCGACGCCACGCCCATTTTCAATTTTTGAAAAAAGTCTGGGTGCAGCTGATTCTGYCATTTCTTCCGTAAAATTTAGTGTTTCTGACGTTATGGGAGGTGGGCGTGGTTATTATCTGATTGCTTCCATTTTTGAGCTGTGTATGGAATTACCT